TTTGATATTTACTGATGTCCTTTCTTCAAGTCTTAGGATTGGAGATGGACTGATGAGCTTGCTCGTATTTGTGGCTATGTTGTGTTCATTTACTCATGCAGCAACTCTTTACTGAGCACCATCTGTACTGGTTACTGAGTATAGCAATAGCTATAAACACAGGCTCTGCTTTCAAGGATCTCACAGTCCAGAAAGGGAGAGTTACAGAACATGGTGGTAATCACTCTGGAAAATTAAGCACAGGAAGCCTTGGGAGCGCATAGAAGGGGCAGTCAACCCTGTCAGGGATTTGAGGAAGAGAAGTTTAGGATTGACTTCTCAGAAGAAATAATAGATGGTAGACCTTCCTTTTAAAGTTCTTTATTTTCTTCTCCAACTGCCTTTAATAAAGCTACTCGAACTTCTTTGGGGAAAAGGTGAGAAACTAAAGTTCCAAGAACTGTTAAGAACACTTGTCATTCACTGACTGGAATCCTGGGCAAGTTACTTAATCCCTATAAAGCTCCATGTCAACATCTGGATATATAAGACTAGTAATAATAGAGTGTACCTCACAGCATTGCCACAAAGATTAAATTAGATAATGTGTGTAAATGTGCTTATAAAACTATAAAGTCTTATAAAAATGTTGACTGTTATCACTAACACTCTGCTGAAGGCTTTAATTCCAATTAACCTACACAATCTTTCCCAACTGAACCAAAATTATGTTCCTTCAGAGGTTTGGTTCATTAAATAACTGGGAAAAATGCCATTTCCCAATATAAGTCACAGTTAATGGCAATAACATTTGTGAAATCTCCATTAAAAAGGAGACCCTCCTTAGTTTTAATATGAAGAAAATGCATTAAATTTATTTTGACCACCATTATGTCCAACTCTTAGCTAACTTGTGAAAAAATGGTTGGTATAACTTCCCACCTTCTGTGGCTCTATTTAGGGAGCTCCTCTTGTTCTTTTCCCCCTTTTTGTTGGGGACCCCCTGGCCTCAGTCCTTGCTCGGACTGTTTCTCAAACTCCATCAAAAGTCAAAACATTAGACGTGCTAGGGGAACACCCTAGCACTAAAATGAGTAAAGCAGGCAGGCCAAGTGACCTGGAGAGTACACATCTCATCTAACAGAGGTGGTCTTGTCTTAAGCTCGTCTGTCCCTGGATGGGCCTCCATATGGTAATATTGTTGTTGTTGTTTTTTTATGTGAGTGTGAACAATACCAGTATGCAAATGTTCTTCCTCCCTGTGGCTCCTTAATTCAAGTCGTATTCACTTAAAGGGTTTGCATCAACCTAGAAGTAAACTAGAAGTAAAATCACTCCTGTGCTTCAATCCTGTGGCTCCCTCTTACCTAGGAGTAGAGTTTAAGTTCTTTAATTTGGTGTTTTGGGTCCTCTGTACATACAATGTTGAGCCAGGCACAGCTCCTTCAAGGAGTTCTCTGTCTCGTAAGGAGACCTGGTAAATAGGCCTCAGCACAGAGGTCCCATGACTCTCTGTGGGGCCCTGCCACTGGACACTGCATAACGATGTGTGTGTTTGTGGGCTCCTTGAGGAAAGGGACTGGTATTTAGAGCACAGTTCTTGCTCGAGGTTTGTTGAATGAGTGAATGAATGAATGAATGAATGAATACGATAAAAGTTAATTATAGTTCATCTCTCTGGGTTTTTTGGGCTTCGTACGGACTTAATATAAATCCAGTCAGTTAAAAATCCAACCGACCAGAATTCACAGATTTTTTTTTTGTTGCTTTTCCTTTTACATTCAAACCCGAGATGGAAAAAGTTTAAGAGGAAACTAAAAACTCACTACCGCAGTACTACGCCACTCCCACTATCTCTGCTACTTCCACTGGGGTTAAATCTGGTCTCGTTCATTGTCATAACGTTCTATAGTTTCCAGATTCTAGAGAGAGAATTGACACTCTTTGTGAGGATCCTAAAATGTAAGCTATTTGAACAAGGAATGACGAAATCCTTCATGAAATTAAAAATAAAAGTGGAAAATATTTAATAAATATTAAAAGTTTTTCTAATCCATTTTCTTCCTCAAATTCCAGAATTCCCTTATCATGAATGCTAAAAATTTGACTGTTCTGTACTGTTATAGCACTTTCTTGTCAATCGTGACCCCTCACACTACAAACTAATGAATGAGAATGGTCCATTTAAGGAGAGAGGTTGGATTTGAAGAGATTAAGAAGTACAAATGGGTAGTTACGAAATAGTCATACAAATACAAAGTACAGCATAGGGAATGTAGTTAATGACAGTGTAATAACTATACCATATGTATAGTGTATATATATACACTATAGTGCCAGGTGGGCACTAGACTAATCGGGGGGATCACTTTGTAAATTACATAAATGACTAACTACTATGCTGCTCATCTGAAACTAATATAAAATAATATTGACTGTCAACTAAATTGAAATATAAAAATAATAATTTAAAAAACAAAAATAAATTTGGGGGAAAAATAAAATAAAAGCAACTGTTGGTGTCTCGCCAAAAAAAAGAAAAAAGAATTTACTTAAATGTACTTTATGAATAGCACATTCAAAGAAAATCCTTGGAAGGCTTTTCAAAAGGAGAAACATTTGCTACATATGTTTTTTTTTCATTCTGAAATACCAAAATTAATATGAATTCCTGGCTCTGTGCTCCTACCCAGAGTAGCTTTAAATGAAATACAGAGGCTTGCTCATAATTTTTTAATCTTTCATTTATTTAGTATTTCCATGAAGAAAAAAATGTTTTAATGCTCAAGGGTTTTATTTATAAAGTGGGGGGAAAGGTAGAAATATGTGTTGAGTAAACCCAGTTTGCCCCAAGGGCATATTATTGTTATGGCTTCTCAAAAGAGAAAGTGGTGCTTAAAAGAAGTAATTCCCAATATTTTCCCCAGACTAAAATGTTGTAATTCAGATGAACTCTGAACTGAGACTCTTTGCATCTCATTTTCTCATTAGGTATTATTACAGCCAACAAAATTTTCAGTGGTGAATTACTTCTCAAGGGTACACCAGACTCCCATAACGTGTGTGCAAACTAAAATAATGAAATAGTTTTTAACCGAGCTTTAGAGATTAGAAAAAAAAAGGGTGGGGGAGAAGGGGGTACTAAAGCCTTCTCATCTCTGTGCTAACCAAAGTATGGTTTTTCTAGTTCCTTTTCTTGCCTATGAAAAACAGGATTAAAAAGTAGAAATGCCACTTAACTTGAAACTCTATTTAAAATCATTTCAAGATTTCTCTTTGAAATACAAGTCACTTTCACCAAAAAAAAAAAAAAAAGTGGACGAATTAGTCTTAAGCTCATGGCTCAGATAAGACTTAGTATAGTAAATAAATGCTTTAAAATGTAGTCGTGGTGTTAAGAAATGACATTTGCTCCATGTACCTAGGCCAGAAGTGCTAATATAAAAACTAGTAGTTTGGTTTTAACACAGAAGTTTGGAAAGTATTTTGTTTCATACTCTTATATTATGCCATCCATTTATATGAGTTATTTAAAGTTTACTAGGCATCAGGCATAAAACTGGTTCTTGTCCTCAAAGAACTTATAATTTAGTTGAGAAACCAAAATTTAACATGATTTTTAAAAGAAAAGAGCAGAAGAAGACAGTATAATTAAGTGTTAAACAATGTGGTACAGATGCTAAGTGACCTAGGATATCAGTGAAAGAGAAAAATCACTGAAGGCTGGGACCGTCAAGTATATATTTTCAATAACCTCTTAAAATGATGCCAGATTTAAAAGTTGTTATATTTGCCGCTCATTTTAAAGCATTTGCATGATTCTCCATTGCTTTCCAAACAGTAGCTGTTCAAAAGGGCACACATGAAACAGTTGAAGCTGGCAGGAGATATATCTTTACACTCCCCCGTGGATTTGCTAATGATGGAAAAAGACATACTTCCTTTTGGGATAACACATACAAAACTAAGTAGATGTTGCATTGGGAATATGAGATTTAATGAACAGAAATACAGACCCCTGGCTGTAGGTTTTGATATGAGTTTTTGTTTCTATTAAACTTTTTTCTTCATGTTAAACAAGTTCTAAGTTTTGGAGCTGAGTCACACTCAAAAAAAATTTTTTTTTTTAATTTAAAATCTATTTTCATAATCAATTTTCCTTCTTAAGAAAAATGCTCTAGAAGTGCAAGTTACAGTCTCAAGGCAATAAGAATTTTCTAGTTCCTAAAAATGATTGGGGTTGGGGAAGGTTGGATACATTTAGGACCCTTTAAAATTGAGGCATCTATCCTCACAGCAAGTTATCTTTGGAAAACACAAAATTTCAAATGCATATTTACACTCTTGGTCTTAAAATGCGTTTTACTTTATAGTTTAGCAAAGATCCTGGTCTGCGTTTCTAACTATTTTAGTCTTTTCCAGGCAGGCAGTTTGAGCTAAATTAGATTTGTTATAATAGAGTTTAAACTGCTTAAACAGAGGCATGTCTCATCTTGTGTTTTGAGTAACGTTAGGCAAGTTTAGAGAATTGTAGTAAGCATTTTTTTTTTTTTTTTGCCCCTCCATACTTGATTGTGTTCTGAGTCTTCCCAAGAAATGTCACTTATTTCCCCAATTCTAAAAAGAGGGACTCTTTCATAACAGTTGTACAACCAGGCAAAAGAGCACACTCTCATGTTTCCTTAAGGGGAGGAAACCTGTAATAATGTGAGATAATTAAATTTAGCCTTAGAAAAATCTTCTTTGAAACGTTCTAATCAAGACTTCCAGCTTTCTGAGTGTGTGTGCGCTTTATTCTTCAATTCTTCCTGGTCCCGATTTTGCATTTCTAATGAAAGTGAACTGACAAAGCGTGAAAGTGGTCTAAGGAGCAAAACAAAGCCATCAAGCATGCTCTGGTGCGCCAAGATTAATCAATATTCCAGAAACCTCGGACTTCCCCCGTCCTTTCCCTGCAGTGTTTTCATTTTTCCACACTCCCCCTTTCCCGGGCACAGACTCCGCCCCTTTTCTTAAGTTGCCCTGATAGTAACTTGCAGTTTCAGAGCACATGCATGCCTGGCTCACTGCGTTTTGCTACGCCGCTGCTACCTGCCGGGAAATTCACCTTGTCATTGCCTGGGGTATCTCCCACCCGTTACAAAGTCAGAAAAAGGTAAGTCCGACGTCCTGTATTCCCGCCGAGTTTAATTTCTCGTTCCACTTCTGTGTTAGTGGATTTTGTCTCCCTAGCAGAGGAGTAGCGAGAGTAAAAGCTAGCCATTTTGGTAGATAAAGTCCATGTTAGTAATTTCATGTCATCCGCATGTGGTGTCTATTTATGCCCTCTGTTAATTTGGAGTTGAGTCATTCAAGGACGGATTAGGGTCAGATTGTGGTTAGAGATCTAGAAACAATCAAGGCTGAGCTGGTCTGTTTTAAAAATGACTGACTGGCTGGTAAAAGGAATCAGAGATTAGTAAAAATAAATAAATAAATCTGGTCTCTTGCGTCTCCTGTTCTTCATTTCTCCCTAGACTTTTAATCTGCTGTGAGGTCTTAAATAATTTGTAACTCTCATTACCTCTGACCTCACCCTGTAATTTTATTTAAAAGTCAAAACTGTTAAGGCAAATCTTTTCTTTCCACACTTGGATTTGCCAAAAGCTCCCGAGGAGTCCTTTGCAGTTACCTCCCCCACAGACGCACACGCTGGCTACTTGCGTTGCCAGATACACACGTCCGCAGGCAGGACTGATTTTTACTTGGATTGCTCCATGGGAAAGATTATGGATAAGAAATCTTGTAAAGTAGCAGGAGGTATCCCTTGATGTTTCGAAACGTCGGGTTTCCACCAAGAAGAGATTTACTCAGATATATTCGAATAACCCAGGAGCGCTTTAAAGAAACTAGAAACCACACACTGTAATGTTTGGAATGAAAATTGGATTCATCTCCTCATTGGTTCTAAAAATCCTAAATTCTAAAATACTTAGAAGCTGGTAATAGTTTCCTCAGAAGACTTCAGTATGTTTGCCACAAAGACAAATAATACTTAGGATATCTACTTGTAACAATAATCAATTGTGATTTTAGATTATTTATAGATGTGCCCAGAGTACTTTGCTTACTTCACAGGAAAACTTTTTAAATTACTCTGTGAAATAGTTAAATGTATTTCCCCAAGTCCTGTGGCTACTTGTGTTCTTTCCATGGCCATATCACTCTTTGATAATATCATGGGTTTTTTTCTTAACGAAGAAAATACTTTATTATATATAACAGAAAGCTCCAACTGTGAAATGTCAATATGTTAAACCACTTTATTGACCCGGTTATACCTTCACCATGTATACAGCATTGGCCTTCAAGTAATTATTATTTCCTGTGCATTCAGTACAGTTGGACATTTATTGAGGGTGAACACTGTGCAAAGTACTCTGCTAGGTTCTGGGGGGAGGGGGGGCTTGAGGGTAGTCAACTCAGCTCCCATGAACCCTTTTATAGCCTCTTTGGAAGGAGAAAGATGTATTTTTAAAAATAGAACACAAATTTCTGCTCATATATTCTGAATTTATGCACACTTCTCCCACGTGGCCCAGTAAAATATGCACATTCTAACCTTGAAAACTGGCATTGTGACTTTCTGGCCCCTGACTCCTGAGATTATGCAGTTTGACAACAGCTTCTCCTGGTGTGGAGCTCACGGATTTCTCACCCCTGGAGACTCTAACTCTTGTCTCTTTCTCTCTTGTTCTAGCTGAGTTCTCTAATATCAAAGAGGTCTAACTTTCTGGGGGTGATTCCGAGACATTGAAGTACGAAGAAGAGACACTTCTAAAGAAGTAAAATATGACTAAAAGCAATGGAGAAGAGCCCAGGATGGGAGGCAGGATGGAGAGATTCCAGCAAGGAGTTCGTAAACGCACACTCTTGGCCAAGAAGAAAGTGCAGAACATCACAAAGGAGGATGTTAAAAGTTACCTATTTCGGAATGCTTTTGTACTGCTCACTGTCACAGCAGTCATTGTGGGTAAGTCATTTGATAACAACCCAAAAAACTGGATCTTGTTTCTCTGGGGTATCTGGCTGCCTGGGAATATTATCAAATGGACTGATTGTAGGTATTCTAAATGATAGCCCAGGTTTTCTTCTAAATTTGAAGCTTCTTTTCCCCCCATGAAATGACAATCTGTTGGCATGTTTGGAGCAATAAACACATGGGAATCTAAAAGAAGCATCATTAGGCATTATGCAAATCAAATGATTGTGTGGAAAGAAAAGTAAATCAAATGTTTTCCCATCTCATGTAAGGACAAAAGAGTGATCATTTAATCATTAGGCCTGAGCAGTTAAATAACAATAAAAATAAGCAAGCCTCTAGACTTGCCCAAAATGTCATCATTATACAATGTCACTTTCACTTAAAACTAATTATACAATTAGTATACCCAAAAAGAGATACAAGTCCCTAATAGTAATCGTATTCTAACTGGTGCTGACTTGAAGTTGAGTACCTAACATTTAGACATAAAGGCCAAATCTTTTATGTGTTTGCATTCTTTCATAAAGTGACTGGGAAAGGTAAGTTGGGGAAAATGTTAACACAGATCTCTTTCATTCATTGTCTTGAAGCGCCTGCCGTAAATAGCTATACCTTTTTTGAAACGTTTCAGCCTCTTAGAAATTTAGCATTGTTGACAGCAATCTATACTAATCAAACAGTATCATTTTGTTTAATTTATTGGTATCTGAATTATAGTTTATTATTTATGGGTGGCATTGATTCTGCTTTAAAATATAGCTGAAAAAACTACTTACATACTTGGAACTTTTGAGTGAATTCATATAGAAATCTTTTGGCTGATAAACATGTAAATCAATGCCATGCTGTAAAAACAAACAAACAAACAAACGAAACTTTAACTCAAATTTCTAATAATCTTCCACCAAAAAAAGAGGCATTTGTATATAGTTTTAATCTCTTCCTTGGTGTTTGCCATGATCTCCATCAAATATAAAAAGGTAATGACAATAAAAACTAAGAAAATTCTGTAGTATATAAATGTAATTATAACTTTATCCAAAAAAAGAAAAATAGTATTCTTAAGTTGCAGACAAATAGGAATATAGCAGAAGAGTAGTTTGCCACAAGACCTTAGATACATTCTTGCTCAACATCTTTGGCTCCTTTTAGTATAGTTGATGAAAAATGACTATTCAGTTAATTTTAGAGGTGTTCAAAGAGAAAGTGTCTTGATGACTCAGGGAAGTAACGGCTTTCTTTAGTGGGTTCCCAGGTTTGAATACATTCCTGGAAGAAGTATTTCAGTATTTTGTCATTGTCTTTGACATTGATGTGTAATGCAGCATGTCACCTCATTTTTTTGTTTTGAATTATAGTTGTTGTCAAAATAAGCAATAGCTACATAATAATAATGAACTTTTATATATAGTACTATTCCAGCTACTTTCTAGGTATTTTACATATATTAACTTACTTAATCCTTAAGCAAGCCTATGAAGTGAGTGGGTAGGAATGATTATTATGATCTTCATTTTATAGATAAGGAGACTGATCATGGAGAAATCAGGCAACTTGCCCAAAGTCATGCAGCTAGTAAATGCTAGAGCTAGAAGTCAAACTCAGGCTGTCTAGTGCCAGAGGCCATTCTCTCAGCCACTCTGCATCCTGCCTCTCTGCTCTGCTGACTAGTTGACATCTTGTGAGAGATGTCAGGAGGGGAAATGCTGCTATGTGTTGGTGGAGGCCAGTGAGCAAGTCATTGCTGGATGCATTCACATGGCATTGTCATTTTACTATGTGATTTACCCAATTAAATTCAGCAGAAAACTTATAATCCTTCTACAAATGATTAAACCACATCCTTCTCATTTATTTAATAACTAATTTTGCAATCTTATATGTATAATAATAGAGATTCGTGATACTGGAGTATGTTTGGAAAAGATGCAGAAATGCTTATTCAAATGGTATTCTAAACACGAGAAGAGATCAAATTCTAGGACAGAAATGTTTCAGTTAAATAGAGGAATGAAGAGTAATAAAACCTGAACATGGAAAGCATATTGGTGGATAAGGAAGTTCCTATGTGATTACAAAGAAATAACATTTTTAATAGAAGGAAGATGCCAGGATTTGAGAGTCCATTTTCTCTATGTGTTCTGGCATCATTTCCCAGCCCAAAGAGGACTTTCCTAAGATTTGTGAGAACTGCAATGAGTTGGCTGAGCTGTGGTAGATAACTTGGCAGGATGCCCTCATGGTTGGCTTTTCTAATGAAAACTGAGGAGGTAGAGTAACAAGAAAAAGGCACTAACAAAGAAACAAATAAAAAGAGCTCATTGACAGTCAGAGAGACCACTGAGTCTACACCAAAAACTTGGAATCACAAATAGACAACTTAGTAGCAAACAGATTTAGGAGAGAAGGAAGAACCCTTCAGTTTCACTTAGCTTGTCACTGGGTACTACCATGTTTACGTCACCCTAAAAGAAATAAGGAGAGAAGATGTCTGAACACCAACTTTCCAATTTATTTGCTGCAGCATAGGAATAAACTAGAAAGATGCTAGTAAGGAAGAATAAAATAGTTATTTTCCCAAAAGATGAGAACTATAGCTGTTACTTGGTTCTCAAATTCTTAGATTTAATCACTTTTAGTAAAAAAGACTGGGAAAACCTATATATTGGGGTAAATTTTTTGCTCAATCTATTTTGTTTTGTCTTCTAGAAGTACAAAGGAATGTACATTTGGTATGTAGAAATGGAAACTAGAAAATATCATGGAAGAGAAGTAAAGAAATGTAAATCCGTATATTCAGAATAAAGCAGAGAATTGTAAATAATTTAGTACCAATTCCTCTGCCAGCACAGGCATAGAACCCCTTGTGCAACTTGATGTCTAAGCAATGACATTTCTAATATCATTTCTAAACGATATCAAAGTCTGCATGGGCCATGCTCATGTAACAAAGCCCCTGTAATAGGAGCAGATAGTGCCAAGTACTAAGTCCCTTTAAGAGAGTTCATTATTAAAGCCTTAGATAAAGTGTCTTCCAGGGCTGTTGCAGACATCTGTCTAACAAAACCACACTGAGAGGAGTGGTTACTATCTTTCTTCCTCCAGGAAGCACTTTCTTGTTTCAAACCGTGCTAAGTTGTGTTTGAGTGACCTCAGACATCTTGCTGAAATCAGGGAAAGTCTTTTGTTGTTATGTTCAAGTCATAGAATGCCACTC